GTTGGTTCTTTGCAATGTTAATAAAATATATTGTACGTTAATTCTTTATGGGTCATTACTTTGTACTTTTAAAGCAAAGTATTTATAGTCACACACACACAAAAAAAAGATTCTGATAATCGATTTAGCATCGAATCGCAGCCCTCTGAATCGTAATCGAATCGAATCGTGAGGTGCCTAGAGATTCCCACCCCTGGGCGATATGGCCAAAAAATCATATCTCGGTATTTTTTGGTTAAATGGCGATATACGATATATATCTCGGTACTTTCTACGTTTTTCTATTTGGATAAAGAAAATATGTATTTATTTAAAAAACAATATTTCACATCCTGCTTAATGATATCCAAACAATGTTGATATTGAAGGATATGGAAACAAATATAGTGAATGTAATGTAGGCTATGCAATATATTACGTGCAAAAAGGTTAAAATCACATTACATTCTAACATTACAATCTAAAAACAAAAATAATGCTTTTGTTTTCAAAATGACTAAGGCTAAACTAAAAATGAAAATAAAAACAAAAGCACAACTATATTAGCCTGCATTTGATTACCCCATTATAATGCTCACTTTGATAAAAACATAGGCCTACTTGTAGGTTTAAAATTCCACATATGGCACATTTATTGTCTCCAACAACAAATGTTTTAGCAATATGTATATTTTAGTCAGAATTATTGCGCTACTCTTCTATTGTGCTCGTGTGTTAGGCGCGCGTGCTCGCGGCAGCGCTAGTTCACGGAAGCTTGAATTTTAGCGGAGATTCACTTGCAGAAGCTCGTCCTCTCCTGACAGTGAAATGGACATATTTGTTTGACTCTAACATTTACAGATGGAGAATATACCTGTGAAATGTAAGTTAAGCACTGAGGAAAGCACCACGTCTCAAACGCATTAAACAGCGCCAGTATTTATCTGTCAGTCAGCAACAGTATCTGTCAGAGCATCTGACAGGGCAAGCTGCTTTAAACTTGTTAACTATATCTTACCAGTTATTTTGAAGTGCTTAATATAAGCTTGTTTAGGACAAATTGTACTATGTTGTTTCACTGCAGGAGCTCACACTGCGTACTCCGCTATTTTTCAGATGTGCTCGTATCAAAGGCTACTGTATCGATATAAACAGTATTGCCTCATTCCATATCTTGGTTTAAAAAAATCGATATATTGTACAAACTCGATTTACCGCCCAGCCCTATAGGAATGTCCTCTTTCTCGTATCAGCCTCGTAGTTCTTTGACATTTTAACACGTTATAACCTGAAGTAACATTGACACTCTTCGCGCCACTGTATATGACGTTTGCTGTTTGTTTTGCTAGCCCGACATACTCTTTTACTGGCCATCGGGCCATTGCTTATGTCGAGCCCTGCATGTACTCATCCTCAAGCTATACATGAAATCTCTGTAAGTGAACAATCCCTGTTAACACGCCTGTCATATCAATGCTCGTATAAAAGCGGCCGAAACCAGAACAACAGGTTCCAGTTCGAGGCGTGTGAATGAGACACACATGGACAAATGTGAATCGGAAACGATTTCAATACCCGAGGTGTAAAAGCATTGGCAGCCAATCAGAATCAAGCTTGCTCATTTAAGGCGGCAGATGACGGACGAAACTGCAGCGCTTGTAATAAACAGAACGATATCGTGCGCTGGTGTGACGCTGATATAGTTATCGTGACCTTTATATTTGCTGTTCTGGGTGTGAACAAGCCTCAAGGTCCCCTGACATGAAATTTTCACTTTCTGAGGTTTTTCGCATTAATATGAGTTCCCCTAGCCCATAGGTCGGCAACCCGCGGCTCTAGAGCCGCATGCGGCTCTTAAGCGCCGCCCTAGTGGCTCCCTGGACCTTTTTTAAAAAATTTGAAAATGGAAAGAAATATTTTTTGTTTTAATATAATTTCTGTAGGAGGAAAGGAAAAACATTACATATATTCTTAAAGTTTTTCAACGTTGTAAAAATGTGTATAATAAATATTTAATTTAAACATTTCTGTCAACGAAGAATTTACGTCATAGACTGTGACACACGTGTCAGTCAGATCGGCGTGATGCTAGACCGGTGGCTGACAAACAAACCGGCGGGTGTGTCATGGGTCGTGGATCCCAAGGGGAAAAAGAGAAAGATAGCCGAGCACTCCCAACGCAATAGAGTGCGGCGCGGGACTAGATTTGATGGCCGAGTGCGAGCGCGGGCGCGGGCGGTAATGCACTCACTGTACTAAAACAAAATAGAAACGATTTACAGGCCAGAATTTCTATTCATAACGTGTTCGCAGCTTTGAGCGATATAGCCAATCACAGACATATGTGTTGATTTCTTGAACGCAATGGCCAATCAGAAGCATTTAAGATAGACTCCCCTCACCGCTCAAAACTGACGTTTTTGTTCAGTGCTGAATTCTGTATGCTGGCAAATCCTCTAATTATAACGAACAAAGTGTGGATATTATGAAAGATTCATTGTGCAGTCAGCTACATTGATAATAACAGAGATGTGTGAGATCGCGATGAACTGTCAGCTTTTTAGGAATTATTAAGAGAGCGCACTTTGCGCGCATTCAGTCATGGCAAACCATGCACGCAGTAAACTGCTTGCTTTTATGTTAAATTAACGGGTTTTTTGTGTTTTAATGCTTTAATAACAAATAATTTATCAGGAGGATGTATGGCGGCGACACGTAGGCTAACTTGAAAGTATTTGGAGGTACAGAAAAAAGTGTATTTGCGGGCGGGAGCGGGACAAAACATAAATGTTGCGGGCGGGAGAAAGAAAGTTGAGAACGTCAGTTATAACGACCCACGCATTAAAAAATGGTCGGGTTAAAATCGGGATCGGGCTCATAATTACGTTTAATGTGTCGGGCCGGGCCGGGCTTGATTTTTTGGGCCCGATCTAAGCTCTAATTTGTAGCCTACTTGTCATTTTGATACTAATAAAGCTAATATAACACTTACAGCATGTGTTGCCTTCATTATAAGGCTTATATAAAGCTTTTAATTTTTTTGCGGCTCCAGACAGATTATTATTATTTTTTGGGTCCAATATGGCTCTTTCAACATTTTGGGTTGCCGACCCCTGCCCTAGCCTGTATGTGGTCCCCCAGTGGCTAGACATGTCAATCGGTGTAAACCGAGCTTTGGCTGTCTCTCTCTGCCTGTGAGAAAATAAGAGCTCAGACGCGCTGATCTTGAATCTCCTCCGTATGACGTCATAAGGAGGAAAGGTTACCTCCCCTTTCTCTGCTTTGCCGCCCAGAGAGTTTGGCTCGCCCATGAGAAAATGAGCTAGGAAGAACCTAGAGTTTTTCCTGGAGAGATATCATGGCTTGCAAACGAGCGAAGCATGGCAGTTGCTCAGTGTTCGGATGTACAAATGAACACAAAGGTATTCTTTAGTTCCTTCATCCAAGCCTCTGAAGAAACACTGGGTTAATTTTATATATTCTCTGGAAATGCGCCGACACAACTTCCCAAAGTTGTGTATGGTCCAAACATTTCACCGACGACTGTTTCCTCAACTTAGGCCAATACAGAGCTGGCCTCGATGAACGTCTGAGAATGAATCAAAGCCTGCCCACAGCTAGGAACAATGCCTTTTATTTCTAAATTATGACTATTTTTGATCTAAAACACATACTAACATTATAAGGGCAACGCAGGAAACATTATAATAAAATAACTCCATGTCAGGGGACCTTTAAAGCTGTACATTTCAGAAAGGACAATACAAATAAATAAATAAACACTTAAACGTGTGCTCAGATTAAAGGGCTGCTCAGAGAAGTGAGCGCTTGAGGCCTTCGTTTACATCTTTAAATATCTACAGAACAAAAGCAGAAGTGCACACTTCTTAAACAGCACCGTTTCCAGCACTGAGTCTTTGTCATGCAGATATAACCTCAGTCTAGATGTTTTTAGGAAATTACTAGAAAAGTGTCAAACCGCAGAACACACGTGTGGCTTCACCTGAAAACACTGACATCGAAACACAAGAGAAACTAAAACCGCTTCCATCCTCGTTCATCTGGAGTCAAGCTTTCAGCTCGCTTTATAAACGGCCATGTTGAAGATTTCAACTCGTTCCTCTCTCTCTCTGTGTGTGTGTGTGTGTGTGTGTGTTTCATGGTTCAGTCGGCTCTGTGATCTGATCTGTCTGACATTGATCACGTCTGAATCCATCAGATCTTACTCTGCTCCAGTAATGTTGAGCTCTTACTTCACCCTCGGAAAGCTTGTCGAGCTCATTTGATTGAGAAAAACCACAATTATGCTTCATACACACGTGTGTGTTCATGCAAATGCGTTAACCTAAACGGCTCACGCATAAACCAATTGACACAGCTAGATTTTTACCTTCTCCTACATGTGAAAACACATTAACCTGCGTTCTGTGGCTTATTGAAGTGTGTGTGTGTGTGTGTGTGTGTGTGTGTGTGTGTGTGTGTGTGTGTGTGTGTGTGTGTGTGACACGTGACAGGAAAGCACCTTTACCGCGACTAAAGCGCATCCAGAGAACTACGACCCAATATATGATACAAATGTGTTCTGAAAGAAGCGGTTCGGTCAAAATACTGCTTAATTATTCAACATCACAAATCTCACATAAATGGACACATGAACGATTAGGTTTTGGCGTAACCTGATTTATTAAGCAAGTCTTGTCAGCGTGTGGTTTACACTTGCACTGCCAGGTTATTGGCTTGCCTGTAAACCAGGACACAGTTAATTCAGTAAGCCAGTTCTGTGTGTGTGAATGTAAACGTGCTCAATGACCGTCAGGTTTACAGAGTCTGTTCTTCATGTAGAGCACAGTTGTGTAAATCTGACCCGTCAAAGGGACTAATGAACTCAAGGAAAAGAGTTTGGGATTGTCCTGAACTTCACAAACACATCCTGAGGTCACAGCCAGTCTTCAGACACACAATGAAAATAATAAACTAATACCTGATGGACATGAGCATTAAACTTCTGAAAGGAAACTTACCTATGAAAGAAATGGCTTCAGGGAAAAACTGAGAAAGGTTTTGGCTCCAGTGATCCGAGATGGGAATCTGTTTGTACTTGAATTCCCCGTCGTGTTCGAACATGTTGGGCAGGTTGGGAGTCACGTTCAGGATGTACTTGATGTTGTACTTGCCCAGAACGTCCAAGTTGGTGGAGTCTTTGGCACAGCCCAGGTAGAGATACGGTAAGATCTGGACTGGGAACGCTGGCTGGTTACTGGGTATCGGGCTTCCCTCGGACTCTGTGGCGCTGCCCGGCTCGCGGTCCGACTCCCCGTCAGAACAGTCGGAGCTGATCCGGAGTCCACCCAGACCCAGAACGGAGGAGGGCGGAGAACTGCTGGGACACGAACAGTCCAAGTTCGTCTCGCAGTGCTCCGGGTACTCCGTCTGAAACTTGTTAAATCCTCCTAGAACAAGCCAGATAATACACGATTATCAGTCAGAGCGATAAATCGGCTATAACAGATCAGTCAGAGCGATAAATCGGCTATAACAGATCAGCCAGAGTGTTAAATCGGCTATAACAGATCAGCCAGAGCGATAAATCGGCTATAACAGATCAGCCAGAGCGATAAATCGGCTATAACAGATCAGTCAGAGTGATAAATCGGCTATAACAGATCAGCCAGAGTGATAAATCGGCTATAACAGATCAGCCAGAGCGATAAATCGGCTATAACAGATCAGCCAGAGCGATAAATCGGCTATAACAGATCAGCCAGAGCGATAAATCGGCTATAACAGATCAGTCAGAGTGATAAATCGGCTATAACAGATCAGCCAGAGTGATAAATCGGCTATAACAGATCAGCCAGAGTGATAAATCGGCTATAACAGATCAGCCAGAGTGATAAATCGGCTATAACAGATCAGTCAGAGTGATAAATCGGCTATAACAGATCAGCCAGAGTGATAAATCGGCTATAACAGATCAGCCAGAGTGATAAATCGGCTATAACAGATCAGCCAGAGCGATAAATCGGCTATAACAGATCAGCCAGAGCGATAAATCGGCTATAACAGATCAGTCAGAGTGATAAATCGGCTATAACAGATCAGCCAGAGTGATAAATCGGCTATAACAGATCAGCCAGAGCGATAAATCGGCTATAACAGATCAGCCAGAGCGATAAATCGGCTATAACAGATCAGCCAGAGCGATAAATCGGCTATAACAGATCAGCCAGAGTGATAAATCGGCTATAACAGATCAGCCAGAGTGATAAATCGGCTATAACAGATCAGCCAGAGCGATAAATCGGCTATAACAGATCAGCCAGAGCGATAAATCGGCTATAACAGATCAGCCAGAGCGATAAATCGGCTATAACAGATCAGCCAGAGTGATAAATCGGCTATAACAGATCAGCCAGAGTGATAAATCGGCTATAACAGATCAGCCAGAGTGATAAATCGGCTATAACAGATCAGCCAGAGCGATAAATCGGCTATAACAGATCAGCCAGAGCGATAAATCGGCTATAACAGATCAGCCAGAGTGATAAATCGGCTATAACAGATCAGCCAGAGTGATAAATCGGCTATAACAGATCAGCCAGAGTGATAAATCGGCTATAACAGATCAGCCAGAGCGATAAATCGGCTATAACAGATCAGCCAGAGCGATAAATCGGCTATAACAGATCAGTCAGAGTGATAAATCGGCTATAACAGATCAGCCAGAGTGATAAATCGGCTATAACAGATCAGCCAGAGCGATAAATCGGCTATAACAGATCAGCCAGAGCGATAAATCGGCTATAACAGATCAGCCAGAGCGATAAATCGGCTATAACAGATCAGCCAGAGTGATAAATCGGCTATAACAGATCAGCCAGAGTGATAAATCGGCTATAACAGATCAGCCAGAGCGATAAATCGGCTATAACAGATCAGCCAGAGCGATAAATCGGCTATAACAGATCAGCCAGAGCGATAAATCGGCTATAACAGATCAGCCAGAGTGATAAATCGGCTATAACAGATCAGCCAGAGTGATAAATCGGCTATAACAGATCAGCCAGAGTGATAAATCGGCTATAACAGATCAGCCAGAGCGATAAATCGGCTATAACAGATCAGCCAGAGCGATAAATCGGCTATAACAGATCAGCCAGAGTGATAAATCGGCTATAACAGATCAGCCAGAGTGATAAATCGGCTATAACAGATCAGCCAGAGTGATAAATCGGCTATAACAGATCAGCCAGAGTGATAAATCGGCTATAACAGATCAGCCAGAGTGATAAATCGGCTATAACAGATCAGCCAGAGTGATAAATCGGCTATAACAGATCAGCCAGAGCGATAAATCGGCTATAACAGATCAGCCAGAGCGATAAATCGGCTATAACAGATCAGCCAGAGTGATAAATCGGCTATAACAGATCAGCCAGAGCGATAAATCGGCTATAACAGATCAGCCAGAGTGATAAATCGGCTATAACAGATCAGCCAGAGTGATAAATCGGCTATAACAGATCAGTCAGAGCGATAAATCGGCTATAACAGATCAGTCAGAGTGTTAAATCGGCTATAACAGATCAGTCAGAGCGATAAACAGCCAGAGCGATAAACAGCCAGAGCGATAAATCGGCTATAACAGACCAGTCAGAGCGATAAATCACATGTATCTGAACATATAAACACTCAAACAAGGGCGATGTGTTCTAACAATCCATACAATGTTATTAAAATACAAATTTTAGTATACTAAAATAATAATATGAAAATAACTAAAATACTAACATAAATACTAATGTCTTGTAAATACTAGTAATCCAAATAGCCACTAACATCTAATATATTATGTGTTCCAATTGTTATTAGTTACTGCAAAAGTCACTAGACATGCTGACTAGTTATTATACAAAACACTTAGCCTAACCAGTGAGATAAGAAGTGTTCCCAGTAAAACTGTAATGGCTGGAGTGTGAACAGCTAAAGGGTTAGTTCACACAAAAATGATCATTCTGTAATCCTTTCCTCATTCCAAACCTGTATGACTTCTTTCGGTTTTTTGTTTCGGTGGAAACAAAACAGTTTTGGTGACCATTGACTTCCACTTTATAGACCAAAAAAAAAAAAAAGGAAAAAAAAAGCCGAGGCATTTTTCAAAACAACATCTTTTGTTATCCAGTCAGTCATTCAGGTTTGTAAATCAACTATTTATGTGTGAACTGCCTCTTTAATATCTGACCTACAGACCATCTCAAGTGGCAAAAATTAACAATGGAATAGTTCCTTGGCATAGACACTCGATGTGTATTTATAAGCAAAGGAATTAATACTAGTATCTAATTAATAAGCACTGGTGAAAAAGATACTATTTCACAATAAATAAATCCGAGTAAACAGATTAATATTCTAACGGATTGAGTGTTCAACTGTTGGTCACATGGTGAAGATCATGACTGACACTCGATGTGTATTTTGTGAATGGTGGCGAAACCGAGAATTACACAGTCAAACTCCATTTCCACGACAAAACGCTCGACATGTGCGTATATTTGCACAAAATATCGAATAGAACGTGGTTATTTATCAAAAAGAGTCGAACAGCGTCGTGATTCTGTCTTTTTGGCCGTTCATTCATAAATCGCTCGTTTTCCTTCAGAAAGACAACATGGCGGAGCCATTTTAGGCAATTAATTGAAAACATCTTTGTTTCTCCTTTTTTTAAAGGGTTGTAGTCAAAACACACAGAGAAAGACAAAAAAGGGTACACATTAGCTATTTTAAGAGCAGTGAGTTTATACAAAATGCCTGTCAGACGTGAAAGATTTCACGAAGCGAGCGCGCGGATGTATTCGTCTAATGTAAACGAACTTTTTCTCCGTTTAAAAGCAGAAGAGCGCGGATTTCAGCGGAGAGGAGAGATTTAATCCATTTCTGTCTCTCTCTCTCACACACACACACGCGCGCAGAGAAAGCGTTTCGAGCTCTTGAAAGTTTTGAATGGCAAATAAACTCCTTGCCTTCCAGGTAATAGGCGTTGCACCCGTCGTCGCGGAGCTTGTGCATGAGGAGCCCGATCACGGAGCCTGAGGTGCCGCTCTCCGGCCAGTCCGCGGTCGCCTCGTCGTACAGCAGAACCGTGTCCGTCTTACAGCGCCGCACGAACTTCTCCTGGTCCTCGTTGTTGGGGATGATGGATCGGATGGGCAGGTTGCCCTTCTTCAGTCTCCTCAGCATGAGCCCCGGGATGGCCAGGTTGATGGCGGACTCGATGTGCGCGGACTCGAAGAGCTCGTGTGTGCGGCAGTCGAGCAGCAGAAGCGCCCCGCCGGACTCCAGCTCATCCTGAAGCCATTCCGCGCTCTTGCTCGACATCATCATGATCACGCCGCTCCAGAGAGAGTGTTTCATGGAGGAGAACGGGCGAGGCTGCTGTGTGCGACAGAACGGGGGGGAACGCGGCAGGGCGATCCGTCAGACGCGGCTCATGATCGCGATCCCTCCGCTCGCCTGGTTCTCTTCTGATGGCTGTTTGACAGGCTGCATTAAAGCGAGCGCGTCATCACGCGAGGGGAGGAGTCTGTGCCGGAGGGTTTAAAGGCACAGCGCCTCTTATTTTCCCTCGCAAAATAATGACGGCGTTAACTCTTTCCCCGCCAGCGCCAGCATTCTTTACCTAGACTATTTTTTGTTGATATATTTATTTCAATATATAAAAAGAAAAAGAACAGAGCCTCTGCTTTCATTCATTCATTCTAGCTTCATTCATTATTTTTTTTATCAACACTTAAAGGCCCCTTTAAATCAAAATTTAAGCTTTTTAGCTTTTAGTATGAATATGTTAGCCTTAATGTAATGAATAAGCAGGTGTGTTTCAAAACAATGACAAAATTCACATTTAGGAGATTGTGGGATTGATGGGAGATTACAACCACTTCCGCTAAAATGGATCAGGAATTTTTATGACATCACCGCTTCTCATCACATCTTCTGTCCAATCAAATGCTCTCTAGAATTCAAAGCTCCGCCCCCTCTGCTATAAACACCACCTGGCCAAAGCGACCGTTGACGCGTCACGGAGAAATATGTGTTGGAGTGTGTGTTCGGTTGCTCAAACGCTCGAGTTTTATTCCGGTTTCCAACTGTTTGTTGGTTAAGAATGAAATGGCTAGAATTATTCACACCTTTCAATTGAATCCAGCGTATCATCAGCGCTCGGATTCACTTCCATGGTGCTGTCAATCTGTGAGGTAAACTAAACGCTATTGGCTATTTGAAAAGGGGGAGGATCCATTCAATATGTCCGGCCTTAGCTTCCTGTTTCAGTGGAAATTACATCAACGCATCAAACAAAGCTGCGCGTTCCAAGACACTTCAGTGTGCCTTTAAATGTGGGGAAGTTTCATTAAAAAAAAGGCTGAGAAATTGTGTTTTTGTCAGTCATTTCCTCTTCCTGGGTCGACATTATATTCAGAAACGTTACGCAGTTTTGATTTATATGCTTTTGAATGTTTGATGATCATGTTAGCTTACATGTGCGTAAACAACATCTATCGGCTCTGTCTGGTTTATGCAGGTCTTCTTCTTCTCCTGTTTTGGATCTGGAGATGCTGCACTATTTCAGATGATGCGTAACAGCGCCCCCTACCGTATAACGGGGGAAACACGGATTGACGGAAAAACTCGTCAATGGCGGGGAAAGAGTTAAAGATTCACTAGAAGAGCTGAAAAGTAAAAGCTCTGAGCTCATCTGCACTCCGCCGTTTCTCTTGTCCAGTACGAGTGGATAGATGTGCCGTATACTCGGCATCTTAAAGTGATAGTTCACCCAAAAATGAAAATTCTGTTGTCATTTACTCACTCTCATGCCGCTCCAAAACCTTAAAGGTGACATATTATGCCTCTTTTCACCAGATGTAATATAAATCTATGGTGTCCCCAGAATGTGTCTGTGAAATTTCAGCTCAAAATACCAGATCATTTATTATAGCTTGTCTATAATCAATTTTTGGGCGTGAGCAAAAACATGCCGTTTTTGTGTGTGTCCCTTTAAATGCAAATTAGCTTTAGCTCCGCCTCTGTTCAGAAGAGGGCGGAGCCTCTACACAAGCTTCAGAGACTCCGGCAATAACAACACAGGCCGATCTCACTGATCCAGAGTCAGGAGTAACAGCAGCGAGTGCAGCCTTACGGAGAGACTCAGGGAGAGCTTCACTTTTACACGTTTCTGAATGTTAGCGGAGACATTTCTGTAGTTGTTGTGGAGTTACACTGATCATCTCCTCATCATGTTGAACTCTTCCACAAGTGTCCACAGTTCCTGAGGTGTTTATAAGACAGCGCTGACATGTTCTGGTCAATAGTGTTCAGTGTCGTCTGTGCTCGACCACAGAACAGTTTCAGGCTTTGCTGGATCTTCTCCAGTGCGTTAGAACTGGTCTCTGTTGGCGCTCGCCGAACCCAATGTCGCTGGTGTGTGTGAACGTGCAGATTAAGGGCCGGGAATATTATAATAAGATCCTCTTCATACGGCAGAAGGAGCGAAATCTGATCGGCTTATTTTAGCCATGCACTCAGAGAAAGCCTCGCCAGAACACAGTTACTGGGTTTCCGTGTTCATGTGTTCTGTGTCGGCAGAAGCGGCGGATTACAGCACTCACACACGGGGAAAGCCAGACTTTCATGATATGTCCCCTTTAAGACTCTTGTTCATCTTCAAAACACAAATGAAGATATTTTTAATTAAAGATTTCTGTCACTCCATTGAAAGTCAATGGAACCAAAACGTTGATGCTTCTAAAAGTTCCTAAAAGTAATCTAAATGAATCGAGTGGTTTAATGCAAGTCTTCTGAAGAGACACAATCACTTTATATGATAACCGATAGTTTAGCTAAAGCAAAAGTTGAAAACATTAGTCAGGCGGATGAAGGACACACACACACACACACACACACACACACACACACACACAGCTCTACACTGTGCCGTGGAGTTTGAGTCCACTGTTGTTGAACGGAGGATCCCCTGTCGAGTCATGAAGAGTCCTTCCGCCCTGACGGAGGTCTGCCACTTCTGCCTTCCCTGCATCCTCTCCGGATAAAGCTCTTGTTGGATATTAAAGGTTTTTGGATTCTATTTTTCTCACTGCAGAAATCAGAAAAGACTGTCAACGGACGGACACAAATACATTTTCACCATGTTTTTAAGAGTAAAATGTTGTATAAATCAGGCGAATGATACATGAACAATCCTTCAGAAGTGTCCAGTGTGAAGTGTTTACACACTCCTGACACACACCCCTGACACACACTCCTGACACACACTGCCTTTACACACTCCTGACACACACTGCCTTTAAACACTCCTGACACACACTGCCTTTACACACACCTGACACACACTGCCTTTACACACTCCTGACACACACTGCCTTTACACACTCCCGACACACACTGCCTTTACACACTCCTGACACACACTGCCTTTACACACTCCTGACACACACTGCCTTTACACACTCCTGACACACACTGCCTTTACACACTCCTGACACACACTGCCTTTACACACTCCTGACACACACTGCCTTTACACACTCCTGACACACACTGCCTTTACACACTCCTGACACACACTGCCTTTACACACTCCTGACACACACTGCCTTTACACACTCCTGACACACACTGCCTTTACACACTCCCGACACACACTGCCTTTACACACTCCTGACACACACTGCCTTTACACACTCCTGACACACACTGCCTTTACACACTCCTGACACACACTGCCTTTACACACTCCTGACACACACTGCCTTTACACACTCCTGACACACACTGCCTTTACACACTCCTGACACACACTGCCTTTACACACTCCTGACACACACTGCCTTTACACACTCCTGACACACACTGCCTTTACACACTCCTGACACACACTGCCTTTACACACACCTGACACACACTGCCTTTACACACTCCTGACACACACTGCCTTTACACACACCTGACACACACTGCCTTTACACACTCCTGACACACACTGCCTTTACACACTCCTGACACACACTGCCTTTACACACTCCTGACACACACTGCCTTTACACACACCTGACACACACTGCCTTTACACACTCCCGACACACACTGCCTTTAAACACTCCTGACACACACTGCCTTTACACACTCCTGACACACACTGCCTTTACACACTCCTGACACACTCTGCCTTTACACACACTGCCTTTACACACTCCTGACACACACTGCCTTTACACACACCTGACACACACTGCCTTTACACACTCCTGACACACACTGCCTTTACACACTCCTGACACACACTGCCTTTACACACTCCCGACACACACTGCCTTTACACACTCCCGACACACACTGCCTTTAAACACTCCTGACACACTCTGCCTTTACACACTCCTGACACACACTGCCTTTACACACTCCTGACACACACTGCCTTTACACACACCTGACACACACTGCCTTTACACACTCCTGACACACACTGCCTTTAAACACTCCTGACACACACTGCCTTTACACACACCTGACACACACTGCCTTTACACACTCCTGACACACACTGCCTTTACACACACCTGACACACACTGCCTTTACACACTCCTGACACACACTGCCTTTAAACACTCCTGACACACACTGCCTTTACACACACCTGACACACACTGCCTTTACACACTCCTGACACACACTGCCTTTACACACACCTGACACACACTGCCTTTACACACTCCTGACACACACTGCCTTTAAACACTCCTGACACACACTGCCTTTACACACACCTGACACACACTGCCTTTACACACTCCCGACACACACTGCCTTTACACACTCCCGACACACACTGCCTTTACACACTCCTGACACACACTGCCTTTACACACTCCTGACACACACTGCCTTTACACACTCCTGACACACACTGCCTTTACACACTCCTGACACACACTGCCTTTACACACACCTGACACACACTGCCTTTACACACTCCTGACACACACTGCCTTTACACACTGCCTTTACACACTCCTGACACACTGCCTTTACACACTCCTGACACACACTGCCTTTACACACACCTGACACACACTGCCTTTACACACTCCTGACACACACTGCCTTTACACACTCCTGACACACACTCCTGACACACACTCCTGACACACACTGCCTTTACACACTCCTGACACACACTGCCTTTACACACTCCTGACACACACTGCCTTTACACACTCCTGACACACACTGCCTTTACACACTCCTGACACACACTGCCTTTACACACTCCTGACACACACTGCCTTTACACACTCCTGACACACACTGCCTTTACACACTCCTGACACACACTGCCTTTACACACTCCTGACACACACTGCCTTTACACACTCCTGACACACACTGCCTTTACACACTCCTGACACACACTGCCTTTACACACTCCTGACACACACTGCCTTTACACACTCCTGACACACTCTG